GTAGGTACTCTGAGTTGTTGTGCAGGAGATCTTAATGGATTCACCCAGGGAGACGGAGCTGGAGGGAGGCTGAGTCCAAGTGGACTGACCATCGATGCCTTTAAAGGGGTAGAGGGAGAGAGAGAGAGAGAGAAAGAGTGAGGGAAGAAGGAGGAAGAAATACTGTTAAACTGACACATCTTCCTTTGCTCTTAGACATTTCCAAAGGACCAAACTCTTATGAGAATCACAATCAAATCCTCTCTCGGCCCAGGAAAGTTTTACCTGTGCAGTAAGTGAGGAGCGCAAGGAAGACCACCACCCAACCCATGGTCAATTTTGGAAAGGAATGTCCTTTTAGGAAAGAAAATTATAACCTTCTTCAGATCTTCTCCCTTCCTTTCCTTAAATGCCCCTGCTTTCTCCTTTCATGCAAATGAGATCTGCACTCATTGGTTCCGCTAGACTATTTTATTCCCTAAAAGCATTATGGGGTTTTCTAGTTGAGTCAATGAACACCAGAGGCCAGATTTGGGACCAATGTCTGTGAAGATTCCCATTCACCCAGGTCATATTTGTCTCAAAGATCTTTTCCTAAAGGTAACTGGATTGTTTTTTCCCCTAAGGAAGAAGAAATCGTCCTTCATAAGCAATCCCCATATTCGGGTTTTTTTTTCATTTTTGGAACAAGCCACTGGAAGCAGAGTTTGTGGGCTTAAACCATTTCCTTTTATCCTGCATATTTCACCTGTTCTGTGAGGACCAGTGCCCTTACTCTGGAGGAAGAGAGGAGACATTTCAGGAGCCATATCTGCCCACCCTTTTGTTTAAGTCATGAAAGAGCAGCAGCTACCCCTGCTGGTCACTGATATTGTAGTAATTGGGCATTGAGCTGGGCACTGAGAGACTTCTCTGCAGATGCAGATGAGCCTACAGATGTTTCTCTCCTGTCTCTTCAGCTCAAGCGTCCCCAGTCACAGATCAAGGTACGTTGCATCTGGTTTCAAGTTGAAGAGGAAGAGTGAAGGTTTTTGCCACACTTCCCCATAAGAGTTCACCACCGTGTAACTGGCTATTTGCACTGTTCCAGCTGAAACAGTAATAATCTCCCTCGTCTTCAGGCTGTATATTGGTGATGGCCATGGATCCTGTAGTCCCAGATCTGGTGGCAGTGAAGCGATCTGGGATCCCTTCTCCCCTGCTGCTGCAACCACTGCAGTGGACAAAGCGAGGGCCTTGTCCTGCTTTCTGTTGATACCAGCTGATGCTGTGGGAACTCTGAGTTGTTGTGCAGGAGAGCGAAAGGGTTCCACCCCGGGAGACGGAGCTGGAGGGAGGCTGACTCCAAGGGGACTGAGCATCGATGCCTTTCAAGAGGGTGGGATGAAGAGAAAGAGTGGGGGGAGAGACAGAAAGAAAGACTGTTAAATTGATGCACCGTCCTTTGCTCTTAGACATTTCCAAAGGACCAAACTCTTATGAGAATCACAATCAAATCCTCTCTCAGCCCTGGAAAGCTTTACCTGTGCAGTAAGTGAGGAGCGCAAGGAAGACCACCGCCCAACCCATGGTCAACTTTGGCAAAGAATGTCCTTCTAAGGAACAAAATTATAACCTTCTTCAGATCTTCTCCCTTCCTTTCCTTAAATGCCCCTGCTTTCTCTTTTCATGCAAATGAGATCTGCACTCATTGGTTCCGCTAGACTATTTTATTCCCCAAAAGCATTATGGGGTTTTCTAGTTGAGTCAATGAACACGAGAGGCCAAATTTGGGACCAATGTCTGAGGAGATTCCCATTCACCCAGATCATAATTGTCTCAAAGATCTTTTCCTAAAGGTAACTGGATTGTTTTTTTCTCTGAGGAAGAAGAAGACATTCTGCATAAGCAATCACCCTATTCGGTTTTCTTTGTTTTTGGAACAAGCCACTAGAAGCAGAGACTGTGGGCTTAAACCATTTCCTTTTATCCTGCATATTTCACCTTTTCTGTGAGGACCAGTGCCCTTACTCTGGAGGAAGAGATGGGACTTTGCAGGAGCCATATCTGCCCACCCTTTTGTTTAAGTCATTTTTGGAAGAACCATGAAAGGGCAGCAGCCGCCCCTGTTGGTCACTGATATTGTAGCAACTGGGCATTGAGCTGGGCACTGAGAGACTTCTCTGCAGATGCAGATGAGCCTACAGACGTTTCTCTCCTGTCTCTTCAGCTCAAGTGTCCCCAGTCATAGATCAAGCTACGTTGCACGTGGTTTCAGTCTGAAGAGGAAGAGTGAAGGTTTTTGCCACACTTCCCCATAAGAGTTCACCACCGTGCAACTGTGTAACTGCTGCGTTCCAGCTCACACAGTAATAATCTGCCTCGTCTTCAGCTTGCACATTGGTGATGGCCAAAGATCCTGTAGTCCCAGATCTGGTGGCAGTGAAGCGATTTGGGATCCCTTCTCCCCTGTTGCTGCAACCACTGCAATGGACAAAGCGAGGGCCTTTTCCTGCTTTCTGTTGGAACCAGTTAATGGCGTGGGTACTCTCAGTTAAGCAGGAAAGTGTAATGGTTTCACCTAAGGGCACGGAGCTGGAGGGAGGCTGACTCCAAGAGGACTGAGCATCGATGCCTTTAAAGAAGGAGGGGAGAGAAAGAAAGAAACACTGTGAAACTGATGCACCGTCCTTTGCTCTGAGACTTTTCCAAGGGACCAAACTCTTATGAGAATCACAATCAAATCCTCTCTCAACCCAGGAAAGCTTTACCTGTGCAGTAAGTGAGGAG